TTCATAGGCTGGTAGCCCAGAAGCCTTCTGGGATTGACATTATCCAGACTCCAAGCACTTAACTTTGGAGTTCTTAAAGCCTGCTAAGGTAAACTGGATTGTCTGGGCCAGGTCCCAGAGGTGAGGAAAAGCAACCCAAGTCCCATGAGAGACTGTGCCCTTGGCCAAGCAGCCAGAGCAGCAAAATCCTTTCAGCAGAGAACTGAGTTATTTCAACATAAGCCCAAAGGTAATAACAAAGCCATTTCTCACCAGTGGTAGCCCTCTAAGTAACTTTACAAAGACTCATCAGAATTCTGTTCTTGCACCAGATGATGTCATGTTTCTCTCCCACTATTTTAGTCTTTGGGGTCTCCATTGTCCCTATGCTGGCCTACACAGAATATGAGCATGTCTTTTTCTCTGTGATGGAGTCTTGCTATAACAGTCAACAAAACATGCAGTGTAGCTGCTGAACATGCATATTAAGGGATATTTGATGAGGAGAGAAGCAACAGTTCTGCTAGTTCACATGACAAAATGAAAAAATGACAATCTCCGATAAAGAATATGAAATTGCAAAAAATTGAACTACAAGAATAAAAAAAAAAACTTTTTTAGAGTGGGAAAAAAGTGGTACCACCCCCAAAATCTGAAGATTTTTCCTTAAATTATAAAGTCCATCACTTGTAGAATGCTTTGTTTTAAAAAATGTCCATGTATGTTTTCTCATTTAATTCTCACAGTAATTCTGTGACACAATGTGATTCTGCTTTATAGATATGAAAATTGACCCAGAGACATTGATCAATATGTCCCAAAATCTCATAAGAATGAGTAGCAGAGTCTTGACTTAAATGTGTCTTAATTCTTCTAATTCCATAATTCTTAATTCTTCTAAGTCTAGTTTACCATATGCCCATTACAGAGGTGGTTGTAAATGACATAGGAAGTAGCCTAAATTTTGTTTTATGATTTCACTGTGGTTCCTTAAGCAATATAAATGGGGTGCCATTTCCCATATAGTGATCACTTTTCACATTGTCTTTCAAGATAATAATTAAGAAGTTTTATTTGTCTGAATTGAAGGTGAAGCCTCTCACACTGTTTTTCCAATGTTTTACTTTGCTCTGACTAATGGGAGTGTGGGTTTTGTGCTGCCTGTCACATTTTGATGAATGCATAAATGTTAAGATCATTGCTAGGAACTTTCTCTGAGAACATACCATCACATGTTGCCACTTCTCCTTTGACTTAAGAATATAGATGTTATAGTCAGTAACATATCAGAACCACAACATTTTGCCCTATTGTGTAATGGGAATGTGTGTGTATATGTTAGACGGGTATACAACGTGACAATAATACGGGTACACAACATGACAATAACATTAAAGGCTGAAAAAAAAAGAGTCATTTATTATACCTAATTGCAGACACCTCTTGACCAGTTCTGTTATGAGAAATGAAACAGCCTGCTTTTCTCAGACCTGAAATTCACTGACAATCTAGCACTTACTTTAGTCAACATTTGTCTGAATAAAAATTGACTTTACTTCTTTTTTTCCTATGGTCAAAGACAAAAAACACAATTTTTACCCAGCTTCAGATAATAATAACTTAAAATAATTAAGTTGTATAAGTCTTTTATATAAGTCCTATTGTATTGTCTCCTTTAATCAGAAAGAAACACTGTAAGAAAGAGAGAAGTTATCCCCATTTTATAGATGCTAAAGCTGTGGTCTATTGACTTATTCATGGTCCCAGCTACTATAATGACTTGATCCTGGGACTTCCATGCCCAAATCTCTGCACTGATTCACAGATATTAAGCTGCCTGCACGCGCACACACACACACACACACACACACACACACGCACACTCCTTTTGACTTGCACAAAATAGAAATAATAATGAAGCATTTAAAAAGTGGAAGTATAATGTCACTCTGTTGCTTCTGATGGATAATAAGTATATAATTGAGCCATATTTTATATGTGTGTGTTTTCTTGTACTGTATAATGATGCTTATCTTAAACTTCACTGCTTAAATATTGCATTTTCCAAGCATATGAATAGAAAATGTTCAGCTGCCTGAAAAAGACCAGACTGACACAATATAAGCCTTTTGTTTACTCACTGAATAGGCACAACTTGTGCCCTGCCAGCTGCTTTGCCCACAGTCTTAACCTTGTTCCGTAAGAACCACCTGTACAATAGCTGGATAATTAATTCCATACTCCATTTCAGACTTGGGATATTCTGTTAAGATTAATTGAGACATAGAAGAAGAGACTAGAATGGTGGCTACCAAGGGTCTACAGGGCTGAGAGGGAGAACGGGGAGATGTTGCTTCAAAAGTAGCAAGTCTCACGTAGCATGAATAAGTTCTGGCAATCATTGTAGAGTATGGTAATTATAATTAATAGTACTGCATTGTGTACTTGAAAATTGCTAACAAATTAGACCCTAAATATTCCCACCACAAAAAAAAATGGAAAATATGGGAGGGATATTAATTAGTTTGATTTAATCATTTTACAATGTAAACATATAGCAAAACATAACATTGTACATAAGTATATACATTTTTATTTGTCAATTATACCATTATAAAACTAGGAGGGGATGGGCTGGGGTTGTGGCTCAGTGGCAGTGCACTTGCCTCGCACGTTTGGGAAACTGGGATCGATCCTCAGCACCACATAAAAATAAATAAATAAAATAAAGGTATTGTGTCCATCTACGACTAAAAGCATATTTAAAAAAAAAACTGGGAGGGGAAAATGACATCAAATAATGGCTTTTAATGTCAACAGTGTACAACACCCTAAATTAGGTTGGAACCATGGAGGCCAGGTGGCCATAGGTTCTGAAACACTTCATTTTTAAGTACTATCTATTGAGAGCTTCTTAAATGAAGAAACTGTGTAGTGGAAATGCTGCATTCAGGATGCCTGAAAGTCTGTGCTATGGACTATTAGGTCTGGGGTCTTATTATTTGGAGTGTTAGGACTCTGAACAATTGCTCTGACTTATTTTATTTCCAACAGCCAATTTGTATGAGATAATAGTGTGGAGGTCAGATTCCATCCTTTTTTCTGAGGAAGACAAAGTGATTCATAAAAGATAGCTGTCCAGAGAAATACACTTATTAGCATAGGGAACTAATACTAGGACCACTTCACATCAGTAGCCATTTAAAATATCTACAAGACAAGCCTCTGACTCAATGCCTTTTCTATTAATATACCCTAACATCTACACTGAACTGTGAGATTGGTCATTTTCAAGGCTTTTAGGAGCCACTTATAGTTTCAATGTACAATCAACAGGCAATAATCAGACAATATTGTCAACTGAAACTCAGAGGCTCAGACTGTACTATAAAGTCCCTAGTCTTTAGTCCCTGCAGTAGTTAAGGAGAGTTTGCATATGTGCTTTTCCTCTAGTCAAAAGCAATCACCTCCTCCTTCCCTAACTTGAACATGGGCTGAGCAAGTTGTGGCTGGAGAAACAAAGAGAGATGGTGTTGAGTTTTCCTAAAAATTTCCAGTTTCATTTGTCAACAGAACCATGAGATGTCGGGAAGCTTTTTGCTGTCTATGATGATGGTTAGTCTGTTGGAAACTTAAGTGTCTGTGGGTGACAACACCCAACTCTTGAAATTCGTTCCAAGTGCCCTTATCTCATTTATAACCAAAACTTGGCCCAGGGCCTTTAAGGTGTCACTTTTTTCCATTCAGTTGGTAGACATAAGAACCAGAGAGGACAATTCAAATGACATTATGTGACCAAAAGTGAGGAAGCCATTTTCCAGAGAGATCAGTTCACTACCACAGAGAATTCTATTTCTAAACTGTTTAAATTTGGTTTGCAGGAGATTATTTTGTGATCCTGGTGTGCTTCCTGCATCTGTTTAGTCTTAAATGCTTCCGAAAACATTTTTCAAAATCCTCTCGTGATTTTCTAATCCTTCCTAATACATGGACTGCTTAAAATGCAACTCTTCCTATTTTTTTTTCTTTAATCCTAGCTTTGAAAATGCAAACGTGTGATTCTTAAAAACAGATTGAAAAGAAAAATGAGCGAGGGTCATTGGAAGCATAGCTGAGTGATGCTGATTCTATTGTTCGTGTGTCTCAAAGAAAATTTCAAACTACATGAGTGTTGTCAATTCTATGAGAAAAGTGAGGGCATTTTAATTACAGCCACAATTTATATTGGATCAGGGTAAAATAAATGTATTGCACTCCCTCTGCTGGCTCTGAAGTTCTAACAGCTCATTATCCAGACCTATTTTTAGATGTAGTTCCCCACTTTAAAAAAAAAAAAAGAAAAAGAAAATACTGGAGTGTGGAAAAAGGAAACAAGAGCTGGAAAACTGTCAATTTTATTATTAGTTTATAATGTCAGAGAAACCAACATCACCCAAGACAAATGATTAGGATGAGCAGAAAAGCCAGGAGTTTTTAGGCTCTTCAACATAGCACTAAGAGAAAGGGAAGGGCCGCCTCTCCTTATCCAGGCCTAAAAGCCTTTAAAAATTACTGAATTCTGTCAAATACTGAAATAATATTTTCTCAAGCTTAAAAAACAAACTAGTAGATTCATATGTTGAATATGTTCAAAATGGCCCAGGAATATACAGGCATTCATTTGGCTTGGGGTGGAAGAGAGAAGGGAATGTGACTGTCTGTCACCTATAGTCAGAGGGGAAAGCTGAAGATCATCATACTGAAACTGTATACCTTGGGGAGGCCACGTTACCCACAAGCCTGGAAGAAATACCGTGGAGTTTTAGAGCCAGGAGGCCTAAGAAACACTGGTTCCTAAGAAACACTGGTTCGTGAGCTAAAGGGAGAATCCATCAGTTGAGGAAAATGGTACAGATGTCAGGGACCCTGAGTATCTCAGCTGTTTCACTCTAGTTGATGGGTACATGCAGGGATTTCGTGCAAAGTCCAGCTTCTGCGTGGTGTTTGCTCTCTTTTCCATTCTCATTCACTCTCTTCCACAGGCGTCTAGATGCCAACCACATCAGCTACGTGCCACCCAGCTGTTTCAGTGGCCTGCATTCCCTGAGGCACCTGTGGCTAGATGACAATGCCCTGACAGAAATCCCTGTCCAGGCTTTCAGAAGTTTATCAGCATTGCAAGCCATGACCTTGGCCCTGAACAAAATACACCACATACCAGACTATGCCTTTGGAAACCTCTCCAGCTTGGTAGTTCTGTAAGTTTTATTGATTTTGCTCTCTCTTCTAATAGTTTCTAAATTCACTCTAGACCTTGGCCTTAAAATGCTGGTCCTTCAAAACTTGAATGGACACATTTTATGGGAGGACAACTCCCTGCCCCTCTCCCCAAAATGAGTAACAAATGTTCCAATTGTGTAAATGTCTTAAATAACATTTATCAAGCACCTGATAAGTGCCAAATACTGCTAGGCATGCAAAAATAATAAGTTATGACCTCTGCTTTAGTGGAACCCATTGTATATTGAACAAGAAATCACAGCACTATACAGTTAGTACAGTAACCAAAGTTATTTGTTTAAAAGTCCTCGTTTTTTATAATAGTTGAGAGCTCAGGTCAAACTGAAAGATGCCTTATTATTTTATAATATGTATCAGTAATATTAATACTATCTATTAAATACTTCTTGAGTCAAGGAAAGAGAAAGGAGAACCGTCACCTGACAGCAAGTTATGCATTTGTACAGCTTTTTTCTGTTAGGTCTAGATTTCATTACTTTAGTATATCAAAATGATTCTTGAATAAGTAATGTTAGAAAAATAATCAGTCTCCTTTAAGGATGAAGCAATATCCCCCTCATGTATAATAGAGTAGCCAATCAATATTGAGACAGGAAAACAACTGCTGCTCAAAAGGCTCTGAAATCAATTGGCTTTAGTGTATTAGTGAGCTTTCCCTCACTGTAACAAAATACTTGAGACAAACAACTGAATGGAGGAAAAGTTTATTTTGGCTCATGGTTTCAGAGGTTTTGATCCATGGCCATTTGGTCCTGTTGCTTTGTGGTGGACTTGTGGCAAGATGGCAGATCATCATAGTAGGCAGTGTGTGGTGGGGCAAAGCTGCTCACTTTATGCCAGCTGGGAGGACTGGGTCCCAATATTCCCTTCAAGGGCACTTCCCCCAATTACCAACTTCCCTCCACTAGGTTCCACCTCCTAAAGGTTGCACCATCTCCCAGGAATGTCACAGGGAACACTCAAGATCCAAACCACAACACTCTTGAGTGTTAACACTTCCTCTGTGGAAGGTCTGCACCAATCTCCTTTTGCTCCATGCTGCCCACTGACTCACCATGACCTTCAATCCCCCACCACCAACCACAATACCACCACCACCCCACCCCCAACCACCACCACCAACACCCCACCCCTGCCACCTTTGTTACCAACTTGATTACATGTTCATCTCTTCCACTTAGTGTATTCTTTGAGAGCTGGTCAACATCTTACCCATCTTTTTAGTTTCTCCTCAATCCCCTTCCTCATCTATCGCACATAGAAGATCCTCAGCAAGTGTTGCATTGGTCTCCTGTAAAACCAAAACTTACTTATTAGAATAAAGGTCTTAGTTTAAAAAAAAGAAATTGGGGGAATGTTAACAAATATTCATACTGAATTCCAAATATAAAAGTGATGCTACTGACCCACCAGAAGCTGCTTTAAATTTTTTTTTCTCCACTAGAGGGGATGGATTTACAGAGATTCAGCTATTCTTTTTCACCCTATCCCCCTTAAACCCATTTTCCAAAATCCCTTTGGGAGTTGGTCCAGTTTTCAGCTGTATACACAGCTGTTCTCATTGGCTCTGACCTGACTTACCCCAATTGGGCCGAAGGTGATAATTATGCACATTAATACTGTGTCAAGAAAACTAATCTTCTTGGGCAGCCGGAAAAATCATTCCCTGTGGCCGAAATCATGGTTTCCTGTTGACCTGTGGCCCAACCCTGGGAATGTAGCCACTAGAAGCCTTCAGCTTCAATATGATGTGCTTAATACACCTATGACCTTCCCTTTGTCCTCCACTTGTCAATGATGATCGGTATCTCTGCTTCACATTCTCTAGCTCAAAGCCATAGTAAACAAACTATAATGAAAACTACACTGAAAAACCTGATCTTACTAATATAGATCATGTTGCTCATATTATTATATGAGATCTCAAACCCAAACAGTAAAACTGTGATTGTCTTTTAAATTCTTTATAAGCAAATGGGGCATGTAGACTTTTTTTTTTTTTTACAATGTTCATTTCTCATAATTAGAGCATTCTTCGGCATAAGTTTCTTTGGATTTAAGCAATCCAAATGTGCCCAAATTTTCCATGTGCAGTGTGCCTTCCTGACTGTCTATAACGTTCTCCTGCAGGCATCTCCATAACAATAGAATCCACTCCCTGGGAAAGAAATGCTTTGATGGGCTCCACAGCCTAGAGACTTTGTGAGTTGACCTTTATTTGTTTCCCTTTTTTCAGTGTTTTCATGAATATTCTGAAAGAATCAAAATAGCCTTGAAGCCAACTTGCTGTTTGGTTTGGTTAATTGCCTGAGCTTTAAACAGATATCTACAGTGGAGAGTTTCTCTCTCTCTCTCCCTCTCTCTCTCTCTCTCTCTCTCTCTCTCTGTTTCACACACACATACACTCACACACACACACACACACACACACACACACACCCTGCAGAGCTAAACAATAAAAGTGAGATTTTATTTTAATCTAATGAGAGTGATAAATTAATTAGAATAATTATAAGTTAAATGAGATGTTCTCTACTGAGCAGTGACTGTCTGCTTAGGAATGTGTATTCTCTTCCAAAGATCAATTCTGTATTGTCTCTCAGGCTCACTATTCAGGAATTTGGTCTTCCCTACTGATGAGTGGATATAGACTAGGCGAATGCCTGAGTTTCCAATCCAAGATGAACAGGCATTTCAATAAGAAACAGGATTCATGTTAAAGCAATTCCAAGAACTGCAAAGTAGTAATAGTTACCATTTATCTCACTATATCTATAATCAACTATCACATTGAACCGTTGGCATACGTCATCCCAATAATTTTTACAAACATCCTATGCACGTAGCCATTTCATCCTACCTTAGGATGGCATCCTATTTAATGAGGGTAAATTATTTTACCAACATTACATGTGTAGTCAGTAGCATAACAGGGACTTGCTTCCTTCTTTGATCTAAACTTCATGTTTACCTCTAGATACTACTTCCAAAGAATAGGTCCAAAATTCAGTTCGTTATTGGTACCTATAATAAAAATGAGTCTGGCCAGCTGAACATGACCTAGACCCTTTCCCAAAGTCAAGGTAGAGGCTCTCACAGGTCACACCAGGGTCCCAGCCTTTTCCCAAGAGAGGAACTGCTCTTTATTGTCCTGTTGAGTGGGAGAAGTTTAATGAGGGTGAGGATCCTGAGTGTGCTGGGAAAGGAAGATGGCTGTAGACATGGGCTCATCTCCATCTCCACATTTCCATATTCAAGTGTAATAAACCACCCAGGGCCACGGAATCTACTATACTGGCTCTGACCAGGAATGCAGGAGGAGGTGACAAAGTCTCCCATGGCCTTGGGGCCCATTTTTCATTTGCATACAAAGCTCACCAATTTGAACATGCTAAATTTAGCTTCTAATCAGGTCTGTGTCCACTAATTTCCTGAAAGACCATTTGTTATTTGTCTTTTTATAGCCAATGAGCTCTAACAGCTCTGCTACCAGGGTTACTTAAATCACTCTGTTTCCTTGTAAATGTCAAAGATGGACTTGTTCAGGCAGGACCTTGATGTCAACTTAATGGCATAGATGAGCATTTCCTATCAGCTGCTAGGAAAATTTAGAACTTCTTTCTTCTCTACACAGGATTGAGCTGGGGATCTTAACAATGGAAAACACCTTCCAGTCCTTTCAACAGGTCAATAGGAAAAAAAAAAAACATGGTATTTGATGGGTATTTGCATGATTTTTCTTTTTCCTCAATCCTGGGTGAAAACTCACATTTACATGTAACACCATAAAACAAAACATTTTAGGGCAAAATTTGTACAGGTCTTGTTGACTCCTCCCTCTTGCCCAGGGCTACAGAGGATCAGTAAATTGGTTATTCCAACCTCTTCCTTTCCCTTACTAGAAATCCAAGTAATTTATAAGGGCCCAATCCTTGTTTAATCAAAAGAGAGCATCTGGAGAGATTTACAAACAGGAAGAAAATTTATGTCCACAAAAGACATGAGTTTCCTGCCTGCAGTATAGCTTAAGGATGGTTTGTGCCAGACAAGTAGGAATCTTGATTCATGTTTAACTCAGCCAAATTATCCTTCTCTTAAAATTAAATAGCAATTCTTCTCCACAGAGGAAGATCTAACCACATCTGATTGCCTGACCAAAAGGTTTCTGTGTCATCTGGGAAATCTGCCATTCCCAGAGACCAGAAGGCAATTACTTTTTCATACGAAGATGTAGGTATAAGGTGGAGTGAGTCCATAAAGCACTCATGAGTAATGGAATTGAAAAGCCATTTGTGCCATAACAGATAGAGAAATTAATGACTTGAGATGGTCTGTCCTTTCCATCTCTCTGTGTGAGGAATAATAAAGAGCTTTGCTTTACAGACCAGTGAAAACAACATGCTTCTGATTTGAATCATTTGTGACTCTAAGGAAATTCTGGACTAGATGTTCCTCTTCCCAATATCTGTAGCTCATAAACCTCTCCAGAATCAGGTCCCATCCAGGACTTCAGGCTGAGAGAGATGCAGGCTTTCCTCAGGAGTCAGGAATAAAGCAACCCTCCAAGGCATCTTGACCCAAGAAGGGGAGGGAACAAGAAAGGGGATGCCATCCAGAAGCCTGAGTACAAATAGAAGCTGCCAATGTAGAGAGCCAGGCTCAGATGAAGAGCTCCATCAGCCTGCAGTCAAATCAACATGCCAAGCTAATGCCACTGCTGCACATTTCTTCCTGTTTTCAATGACTTAGACCTGTTGAGCTTAGATTCTGAAATTTCTCTTAATCAGTGTAATGACCATTTAAATGCAGATGCCTGTGGAATCTGTGGTCTGCAAGCTAAGAAAACCCTCTTTATAAAGAGAAGAAATGAGAACTTTCATCAGTGATATGAGTCCATTGGAACAACATGTTGACTTACCTTGTGAAATATAGTTGCTGTGAGTTTTGAAATGAAAAACAAAGTATTATTTATTCATTTTCAGAGATTTAAATTACAATAACCTTGATGAATTCCCCACTGCAATCAGGACCCTCTCCAACCTTAAAGAACTGTGAGTATTTGGGAAAATTTTAGTAGAAGAATTTTGTTCATCGTGAATTTATTTTTAAAATATACATGATTCTTGTACATAATATGACTTCCTGGAAAATTTTTGAAGTTTATGTAAATAGTGGTTAAGTATACTGGAAATATAGTTTCATTGATTCCTATTGCCTGCAGATATTGAATTTTTAAATTTATGATAGGTTTCTCATATATTTATATAAGAAATATATGCCAAGCCCTACTCTTTTTTCTTTTCCTAAGCCATACATATTTACATACATTCAATATAGTATATTGTATTATAGCATATAATATAATATATATTGTAAATTTGTAGTAGAGCTATAATAGAATGCAGTTATTTGCTGAGCATTTCTAAGAATCCAAACAGTTCTAGGTTGCATGAGTATAAAACTGAATATATAAAATAGCATATGTCTTGTATAATGCTAGGTGCTTTCCCATACATTTCATTATATACATTTTTTCCTTAAATGCTGCATGAACTTCATCTCATTTGAAAAACAGTTTTATGAAAAGAAAGCTAACTTTCAGTCATTAGAAGATATATATATATATATATATATATATATATATATATATATGCTTTTAGATGATATAAAATCAACTTTTCTTCATACCTAAAAAGATGAATAGCTTATATAAATAATATTCTAAGCAAATGTAGAACCTTATTATCCTGGCAGTGAGAAATGAGATACACAGTCAGAGAAGGTAGATAGGAGCTTATTTATAAGAAACAGCCAAAAAAAGAAAGAAAGAAAAATGAAAAGAAACAGCCCTCAGCAGTTGCCTCAGGAAACCCCATGTGCAGCTCAGCTAGGCAGCCTTGCCTGTACTGCCACTCACCTCTGACCAGCACAGGCCCGTGAAGACCCAGAGATCACTGACTCTGTCCCTCTGCCATGCAGGGAACCTTAGCACCCATAGATGAGAAGCCATTTTTATTTATTACAAACTCACTGAGCCGGGGCACCTTTCTTCAGGTCAGGAAATTTTGTCCTCATAAGAAGATTACTTAAATCTCTACTTCACTGCAGCTTAAGTCAATTTTCTCTTCTCCTAGCTTCAAATGGGGTCAGGAGGAGTGATCCTAATCCTCTCTCCAAAGATAGTTCCCACTCCTCAGGCTGCTATACAATGGCACTCTATTTGGATATTAACAGGTGGATTTCCTTTTTATAATATGAGCTTGTAAGTTTCCATTAAAAAAAAAAAGTTTTTTCAGAATCTCTCTTCCTCTTTCAAGACAAGGCACATGATTTCTTTTTCTCCTAAAGAATAAATGAGTGTCCATAAGTTTCAAGCCTCAGAAAGGAGTTTAAGTTTGTCCTCTGGCTATTGAAAGTGATGATTATTACCATGGTGGGGGTGAGGGGAGCTATTAAATAATTTTGCCCCACACATGATTTTCTATAAGTTGGTTTTTTTTCCCCTCTTTTTTTAGAGGATTTCATAGCAACAATATCAGGTCAATACCTGAGAAGGCATTTGTAGGCAACCCTTCTCTTATTACAATGTAAGTAACCATGGTGCTTTTGGGTTTGTCCATATTGAAATGTAGTATATATAGTACTTTTAAATATGATGTACTGTCCTTTGTTTGCCTGTGTTTTGTCTCAGCTGATGTAATAATCTATACAGAAAAGTGTATCTGGAGACGTCTTGTCAGGTTTCAGCTGAATACTGAAATAACAATTTTTTTTTAAGATCTATGATGCTTGGATGCTTCTCTTGCCTATCACATCTCACGATCTTATAATTGCTTTTGGATATCTCTTTTTTCTAAGGAATGAATCTGATCTTTACTGCATCATTGTTAAGGCCACATAGTCATCCAGGACTTCAACCCAAGCATACTAGAAATATAAATTATCATATGCACCACCATTTGACCCAGTTATGCTATTCCTTGGTATATACCCAAATCAGCATACTACAGTGACTCAGCCACATCAATATTTGTAGCAGCTTAATTAACAATAGCAAAGCTATGGAACCAACCTAGGTGCCCTTCAACAGATGAATGGATAAAGAAAAATGTGGTATATATACACAATGGAATATTACTCAGCCACAGAAAGAATTAAATTATGGCATTTTCTGGTAAATGGATGAACCTGGAGACTATCATGCTAAGTGAAATAAGCCAGTCCCCCCCAAAAAAAGGCTGAATGTTCTAATATGTAGATGCTAACACACAATATAAAGGTTGGGGGTAATAGAAGTTCATTGGATTAGAAAAAGGGGAATAAAGGGAAGGAAGGGGAATGAGATTAGGAGAGGCAGTAGAATGAACTGGACATAACTTTTCCTATGCTCATATATGAATACATAACCATTGAAACTCCACATTATATACAACCACAAGATTGGAATCCAAATTAGATTAAGTCATACTCCATGTATGTATAATATTTCAAAATACACTCTACTGTCATGTGTATCTAAAAGAACAAATTTTAAAAATTAAAAAAAGAAATATTTAACCTTAAAAAAATAAAGAATAAATAAATTATCATATGAAAATGGGACTTGGCAAGCAGTAGACTCCAACCTAAGTTGGTGTGGGATGGAAGGGCAATGTTTTATGCTAAGTCTACTCATTATCAAGCCCAAGCATTGACTCACAGAACAACAAAGATGTAATTCTAGAAAGGTGCATATGTTCTAGAAAGGTGTGTATAAAGATTTATATGCTGTACAAGAATAAAATAAGGTTACAATTACAAAGCATAACTAGTTTTATGCTTCACATTTAGCACAGACAATTGATTACATATAGGAAGATGAAAATATACTAGTATATTATTAGACTAGAACTATAAAGAGATATTAGACTAGAAATATAAAGAGATAACCAAAATTAGACTACTCTTAGTTAAAAGACACCTGTCCAAGCATGTTTGGGGCATGGTATTGGCCCAGGGTCATTGGTGAGGAATCTCAAACACAGAAAAGGAAGGACAACTGTTGAACATAGACTCTAGGGGCACTTCTTGGCAGATGTTCATCCTGAGCCAACTAGATCAAGAGGCTTTCTGGAACCATGTGGCATTTGTCACAAGTGATCTGGAGCCCCAATTAACCCTGACAACTGGAAAAAATATTTTGAACTAACAAACAAAACAAAGCATTCATCATCTCTGAAATGTTCTGGCAATATCTGGGTAAGCTAAGGGTTTTAAATTGTATTGACCAATAAACATTAGTCCTCATTAGAGGGTATTTACATATTAAGAGGTTGGCAAATTGCATTGCCTTTGCTCCACTTTCCTTGAAAGCCAGAAGTTTTTAATCACTCTTTTGATATGCTAATAGCTCCTGAGGAGGACTAACAGCCTCTGTAGTTATTAGAGCTCCAAGCCATTATTTGATGGTTGTGGCCACTTTCTCCCTGAAACTTTGCTCTCCTTGCTCCCACATCCTTTTCCACCTCCTGTCACAACCAGCCCCTTTGGTCTCCCCCATCTCTGTGCATGCTTCCCATGTCCTGTCCTCACTGCCACCTCTGCAGTTACAATCCTACCACACCTCTTCTTCATGCCTGCCCAGGGAACTCACATTTGTACATGTATATAAACACAGTTATATCTACATAGCATAAAGTATAATCAAAAGCCAATGTGACATTACCAGGAAAATTCCATTTTTAAATCATAAAGCGTATATTCGAGCTCTACTCTTTCTCTTACTGATTGCCTAATCTCAAGAGAAAAGAAGAGGTTAGAGGGGCTGGGGATGTGGCTCAAGCGGTAGCGCGCTAGCCTGGCATGTGTGCGGCCCGGGTTCGATCCTCAGCACCACATACAAACAAAGATGTTGTGTCCGCCGAAAACTAAAAAATAAATATTAAAATTCTCTCTCTCTCTCTCTC